ACCTAAACAAAATGCTTAATTTTATTTATGTTTGAAGACGTTGATGCAAAAACGTTTTATAGTACACGCCCACAAAAAATAAAAAAAATGACTTTTATTATTTATCTTTGAAGACATCTGTGTTATACTGTAGGTGCTATCGATTAAAAATCATTTTGTTTTACTTTTCGAAATGTTCTCACTTCTAAAGGTTATTTCTTTCAATATAAAGTAAAAATATCAAAATTAATTTTAATTAATATTTTTATTTAAATATTTTTAGAACCACAAGTTTTATGATCCGAAATTTCAATGCTTGAACAAATTAGGTTTTAATTTTTAGTCGTTCTAATTTCTAAGTGTTCTAATTTCTGAGAATCTATAAGTTATATACTTGGTACCTTTTACCTTTAGCGTATTAAAATCTGTTAAACTCATCTTTATGTTACAGATACTTTTGAATGGAGCATTTTATATATGCTGAGATAAAGTTATGTCGTTGTTGTCATGACTAAGTGAATTTCAAATAAAACCAAGGTAAGATGTGACACTATACATATTAGTATAGAAGTGGCGTTCAAAAACCTTTCTGCCTGGACGTTTGAAATTCGCAAAAATGAATATAGTATCCAAACTACAACTATCTTCTCATAAATAGTTTTAAAATCCATCTAAATTTTAGATACTTCTTTTATTTTTTTGAATTTGTTTTTGACAGTAGCTTATAACTATGCATTTACTTTGATGAATTTCGAAAAGAATATATGTAAACGCACATATTTTTGCAAATTCTATTAATAGAACATCTTTATTGAATTTTGAAAGAAATAATTAAAGCTGCTACCACATTCATAGCATACTCTCTTTAAATCAGGGATTTGGTTCTGCAAATATATTGCCTCATTTACTTTTTCTCTTTGATTTCGGTTTGCATCTTGTGTGAGAGGTTAGCTCTCATAATAGAAGAAATGGCAAATAAAACGTAAATAACGACATTATTAGTGGGCTTCTATATTGGCTAGACTTTGGCAAAATTTTTATATTCGATTAAAAGTACGTATTATTTTAGAATTTGTTCTGTTAACAAAAATGTTTATGTGTTATTATAAAAGAGATAGTGACATCAAAAATCTAGCCAAAAGTTAAGCCAGTGTAAACGCTGGGTAAGGTTAACAAAATGACGGTGTTTCCATTTTTCAATTCCTATCACTGAGTTTGTTTCGTATATGTATCCAACAAAACTCGTCATGGTTTAATACTATTTTATTGGTCAAAAATTTTGAAAGACACTTATATATGTGTTCTTGAATTTTGGATAATAAATTCTATGACATTAAGGATATGTACGAGTTAGGCTAAGTTGATGCTGAACTAAATGGGAGATTTTTTGCACTGCACACATTTAGCCATTTATCGACACATCACTACATTTTCGGTACATCTTAGAATTTCCCTCATTTAGAACCCAACTTAGCCTAACTCGCACACGTCCTAATAAGCTAAATTTAGAAACACATATGAATAAAAGTATTTTTTAATTTTATATGGTTTCATAAGTTCCTTTATTTGTCACTGTGTATTTTCGTAATACCCACCACTGAAGTCGGGGAGCTCAGTGAACAGTTTTTAGCCTCACGTCTGTAATCTATATGTTTTGCTTTAATATAATAATTTTTTTCTGAATGTTCTGTGAACGTTTTTGCAGGTTCATCTATATCTGATAAAAAGAAACCATAAGTATTCTATTGTTGTGGCTGATCGATTTTGAAAACAAATTCTTGAAGTAATAATGTCTGATGGGTAATGTTATGTACTTGTGTATTTATGTAAATATATCTTTTAAAATTGCAGGTATTCTTAGCTATCTAAATAAATGTTGCTTATTATATATAATCTGCTGCTTATCAAAAGTAACTACTGTTTTTATAAGTTTTCTCTATTAATTTTGTATATTAGAAACTATTTTTTTAAAAAAATTTGATTCAATTCAATATTGCTGTTTTACAACTTTAATATTTAATAATGTTCATTTAGAATTTGTTTCAGTCAGAATTTTGTAGTTTAAAATAAGATTTGCTTTTTATCTTTTAAGTTTTGACAATTTTTCTCATTTTTTAAATAAAATTTTTACCTTAATGGACACATAAAACGATATAATATGAGATGCTTTACGAATATCAAAAAAATCTTAATATTAATTTTATTTTTCAATTTATAACAAAACAAGTACATATATATAATTATGCATTTTACAATTCTTAGAAAATATAGGTTTTCTGTCTTTGATTCTTTTGTTTGTTTAGGTTTCTTAATTTACTTATTTATCAAAGCAAAAAAGCTAAAAATATTTTTTTATTTTAAATTTTTGGGCTGGGCTTGGTACGTATAGCATTTAAAAAATGTCCATTGAAGTGGATTTCACATCACTTACAATTTGCTAAATATTTTAATGTATATTTATTTATTTGTTTTTTTTAATATAATTAATTTATCTTTAAAGGCAGTCAAAATATTAATTATTAATGAAATAAATATCAAATATTTTATTTTTTATAAATATTTTGTAAACTTATAATTAACAAATTTCTTAATTATCGGTTATCATTTTTGTTTTGTATTCTTTATTTGGTTTATATAAGTTTATCACTTCTTTGTGTTTCCCTTTGTTTCTGTTAAATATGTAATGAATTTAAAATAAGTAAAAAATTAACAAATTTCTTAAAATGTCCTAAATAGAATTTAACAAGTAACTTTATTTGAGCGTAACCAAAAAAATACATCTTATATATTAAATTTATTTAAATAATTTAATTTATTATTTTTATTATATAAAAAATAATTTCCTGAAATGTTGTGGTTGTTTCTTTTAATTTTATTGTTGATGTGTTAAATGTGATTATAATTGTGTGTGTATGTGTTGCTGTATTTAATTTTAAATTTTTACTTGTGTTGTGTTGTATCTAAATTGTTTCAATATATCTAATTGCATGGTTTTCAGCAAGAGTTTTATGAAAATCCTTTGTAGTGCACAAAGAAGAAAATCAGGAAAATCGCGTAAGCAGTTGGAAATGTAATTCTTGCGATGACATCGATCGTTTTCGCTACTCGAATTGGGTGAGGCGGTTCCTTTTTGCGCACTTGTACGAAGCAAGTCTGTAAAAGAGATATTATTAGTGTCTGTTTGTTACTCATTAATAAGTAATCTTATATATAGTTAAAATTAATTACTTTATACTTCAATTTATCATCATTAATTTAAACATAAACTACATTAAACAGTGTAGTCAAGACTCAAGACTTACTATATTCAGCAAGAAGTAGATTAAGATCATTTTACCATAATGTTTTTTAATGTATTAATTTCTTATTTAAGTAGAATTGAATCTTAACTATTAACGTAACAGGAAAGGGCAAGGGGAAAGGAGAAAATAATTCTCCACATAAATCAAAAATATGAAAACATGCCACCGAAATAATCAATAAAATTTTTCTCAGTTATCAAGATTTTATCATTTAAAAATTTAATTTTACTAAAAAAAAAGAAAAACAGACATTATTTTATCGACCTCCGATACTTTATTAAATATTGCTTGGAATATACTTTTAAAAGGGTATATGGCGTGCTCCATATATTCCACGGGCTACATTCATAATATAATATTCACAGGTTTATATTGGTTACGAATAGATATTATTAAATTTATGAAATCTTTCAGAAAGTACTATAACATTTTATTAGTATTTCAACGGGTCACGTCGCAAAATACTAATAAGGTATAGAAATAGAAAATGAGAACGAAATATTGACATGATTTCTTGTATTTGATAACAGAAAGCAAACAACGCTTAGATCTTCAAATTTCTCAGTCATGATTGGTTGCTTAGAAAACTCTTCTCTACCTTATAACTTAGATCAAAGTGTAGTAGATTTCAACTCGCTGATAAATAATAATAAGAACATTAATAATAATCACATAATATATCGAAATTGACGGTATTACGAGTATAGCAGTTCTGGATGACAGTAATGATGATTTAATCATCTAAAGCATTGATTATAAATTTTATAGAGTAAAAATGTTCTACCAAAATTTATATTAAAGGATATATGTCGTCCTGGTAATAAAATGACCAAAGAACTGAAAATATCACAGCGAAACATCCGACGTATATTCCAAAAGGGTGGTTGAATTAAAGGTAAAGCCTTGAAATTCCAAAAGATACAAGATCTTACACCAAAGCAACAAAAAGTTCAACTCGAAAGAGCAATGGAGTTGTTATGCTTGCATGAACTTGACTAATTTCCAAACATTGTGTCCTCTGCTGAGAAAAATTGTGCTATTGAGCAGTTCATAAACTCTTGTAAACTTTGATCGTGTTTACTTAACTGAACGGACTGCCGAAAATTTGAAACTATGAATGGCGACCCGAAGTGATTTTTCATCTGAAGTAATGGTATGGACAGCTGTGACCGCCGATATCCGCCCTCCAATCGCTTTCATTGAGTTTGGTATCAAAGTCAATGTGACTTATTACCGGGAAAATGTTTTGTAAGTTGCTTTAGAACCGTGGGCACGTTAGCATGGTCTTTGGTCTACGAGATGGATCATTCTAACAAGACTCGGTACTGTTTCATAAAGCTCGTGCTAACCAAGAATGGATAAACAATCATGTTCAACACTTCATTTCGTCCCCACAATGCCTTTCGAATTCGATAGATGTAAAACCGTTGTAGTATTCCATATGGGCCATTTTGGTGAGAAAACTGAACACTAAAAAATGTGCAAGTATGGTTGCTATTGTTTCGTTGTTCAGCAATGGGTCAAAATACCGGAAGATCACATTCGCGAAGCATGCAACTAATTTTTACCATTTAAAGGCCATAGTAAAGGTAAAGGTGGCTACATCGAGCTAGAGTGAATGGGTTCCAAATTATTATTTTTATAATTTTGAATATATCTAATATGATATATAGTTTATGTAAATATGTATTGTATTAAATTTTTAAAAATTAAATATAAAAGAGATCATGAAATGATATTAACTTCTTGATATAATATTCTTAGACATCGGTTTTATATAGATAATAAATCATTTGATATTTACCTCTGTAGCGCAGCCGTTGTTTGCGGAGTGGGTACAGGGACTGCTACTGCCACCGCAAGTTGTACAAGCCACGATTTCATTAGGACCGCTGGTGTCTCGCTTTTTCTCACCCTGATAAACGGCGGTAAATTTAAAAAACTTTTTTATTACAATTTGAGTTTTCATGCGTTACAACAACAAAATTACAAATTATACGACAAATAGATAAAATCAGACGAAAATAACGAATTAACGAAGAACAAACGAACAAACGTGGTAACATTAACAAAAATTGCATTTGGCATTTGGCATTTTTTTCATAAAATTTTATTCACAATTTGGTGGAATTTTTCGTAATAGTCATATACACAAAATACACAGCAAAAAGCGTTAAAAATGGAAAAAATACAAAATAGATAAAATTAATTAATAATTATTTAGTACATTAAAATTACATTTAATTACAGTTTTTATCAAATAAAAGCAATAGTTTATTTATGCAAAATTATTTTGAAATTCAAATTTAAGAAGAAATCCATTTTTACTTACCGGCTAAAATTTTTCGAATTCGTGAGCAGTGTGAAATGAATAATAGAAATGATATATTTAATTTTTTATATATATTAAGGACCTTCAGTTATTCTTTTATTTTTGTCATAACGAATTTTTTCATATATTTGGTATTGATACTTTATGCGCTTTCGTTAGTAAATTTTAGCATGAATATTTTGCAGATTTCGGTATTATAAGCTGAATGTGACATATCTGATAATGAATAATCAATTCTTCAAAACAGCAGTGATTATTAACACAAAAATATTACTAATTTATAGTTTTTTAGTTTTTCAGATTCAGAAAATAGTATAAGTATATTACTTAGTGTTAAAACCATACAAACTATTTGAGATTGACCATAGAAAGTAAATATGTGATACCCATATTTGTGTTACTTATCCTTGCTAGTCTACCAAAATAATATACGATAAAAATGAAGCTAAGATATATGTTTAAAACTGTGTCGTCAAGTCCTTATTTTCATCATATAAGTTAAGGTTAGATTTGAGCGACGTCTATCTGCACTAATACGAACTTGAACACAAATAATGATCTGTTGTGATATCACTGATGAGATACCATATGTACACAAGAACTTAGGAACCATCTTAATCAACTTAAAGGTATAAACCCTTAACATATAGTATACGAACAAATTCCTTTTTTGCAATATTAAGCAGTTAAAAAAAAATTGGAAATACAGTTCGTGTAAAAGAATGACCCATATATACTCTAAATGTTTTAAATTATATGCCTCAATGTTAAATTATTTTTAATTTTTAATAAAAGTTCAAAAAAAAAAACTATGAGAGTAAATATTAACAGAACGTATTATGTTATTTATCAAGATTGTTAGGTGGAGAAGAGAACCGCTGTTGTCTATATTAATGAGAATTTTACCTATCTTAAATAGGTTTTTGATTTAAATAAAAGTAATCTATATTCCTAAATGTTGAAAAATGACTACGGTAAGGAACTAGTTTATATAAGAAAATCATTGGAATATAAAATATTTGCATATTGCAACTACCGTGGTGTTGAGTGGGTTATGCCTGATTAGTTCGTTCTTTGTCCAGTATGGACTAGGTCAATCTTGAGATCTGACAGCAGGGTTCATTTGCCCAATTTTGATCACCTATACTCTGACATTTTTGTTTGTATTTTATTTAATAATATTTTCTGAATCAGTTATTTTTAAAAAAATGCCATAAATAATATACAAATAAATTACAATAGCATATACGTTGAACTAAATTACAGTTGTAAAGAATTGATTTCAATGATTAATAAATATTCTAAATATTTTTAAATAGTAGAAAATACAAAGTTTTGAAGTATTTTAAATTAAAGTAAATTAAACGATACTAAAGGACTACAGAAACAAATTAAATTTTTTAACAGTAATACGACAGCAATGCGATTTACTACAACGAATGCTATAAAATTTAACAAATTAAAGTGCTTTTACTATTCCTTTAAACTAAAGTAACTAAAGTATAGAGTAACATTTTGCACCATTCGTAATTCATAAATACATATTTACACAGTAATAAAAAAATACATTCGTGCATAAATTAGACATACTTCACAAAAAAAATCTTACATATTTTATTTACGAGCGGTTGGTTCTGATATTTCTGCTCTTGAATATGTTTACAGCTTTATGTGTATGAGTTCAGAACACTTTTGATGGATTTATGTGAGTATTTATGAATAAATATGAGTAAATATGAGTAAATACGAATGCGAATGAATTACACTAAATGCGCATTTGTATGCATTTGCGAAAATGTTTATCTGTGTGGTAGAAAACAAATTACACGTTTATTTTTTATAGGTTAAGGAGGATAATGGTCATGAAAGGGTTAATTTATTTATATCAAATCTCTCAGATTACTAAAAGTTTTAAAATACTCGTAATTCTAAATGTTAAATATATACATAATTTACTTATGTGTAGTGATTATTAGAGTTAAACAAATTATTAACAAAGATGCAGATGAACAACAGTTTGCAATAGGCCACTTAGTATATAGGTCCGATAACTAATTTTGAACCAGTTTATAAACCATAAATAAAGTAAATATAAATTATATTACTTCTTTCGGAATAGTATCAAAAATTATGAATCAATGATATCTTCTTCAGCTTAGTGCCGTTTCTCCTAATTGGAAATCGATGACATAGTACAACAAAAATATTTTATTTTGATGTATTTAGTAGTAGTAAGCGGAGTTTTTAGTAAACAGAGTTTTTCTTTTATAACAGATATAAAATAATAAAAAAAAAAACATAGAATGCAAGAAAAAATATCGACACTCATTTTTACATATTAAAAAATATTGATCAAATATTCTAGATCCAAATGAATATTCATAGTCCTGCCATAAATTGCTTTATATTTGCTTTAACAATTATTGCAGTTCGCTAGCTCGTCCTTAGCCTCTGTTTTAATAGCTGAGCCATGTTGCCTTTTTTACATGCCAATTTCGCAACTTAATGGATTATGAGCGCATGAAATGCTGCACTGTTTTATATTTCAATTTTCATTTTGTTAGGATGCCACTGGGTTTAAATTGAATTTAACTGTTGTATCTTTGCGGTTTAACTCTACTTCCAGTATATAATAATGTTACATGCTTTATTAGGAGCAAAACACGAAGTATGCTTTTTATATCTTCAACATAAAGAATTCATCCGCTTGGAGCTCCAATTCCACCGAGATTTCAACACTGAACAGAGCAATTAAACATATGCGGTTTGAGTGTCTGTGCGGGGAAGATTGGCTAATAAAAACATGTTAGCATGGATGAAAGAATGAAGTATGTATGAAAAATGCGGTACTCGTTTTAATAAGTATGAAGATAAAGTGTCTGTTTGTAAGCTAATAACAGTGATATAATAAAATATTATGTGGTTGTGTTGTTAGAAGGATTAAGGATTTTCTGTATGACTTTTTCTAATTTCTATAATTAAAGCTAATAAAATTCTTGTATGTTGTTTGTATAAAAAATGTCTGAAATTTGAGATTTATTAAAATTAAAAGGAAATGTTTATAAAAGCAAAGTATATTCACTTGATGGAGCATACTCCGTTTTTTATTAACTATTTGAAGCAAAACAAATAAGATTCTAAATGATTTTACAATGATGATGGTGGCCTTCAGTACCAGTTGAGTTGGTTAAGTTCATTTTATGCAGCGTAATAAAATTTAATGCAATGGATCAGAGTAACTAACCTAGAATTGTAATTTATCACAGTCAAAAGTGGTCAGTGCAAGAAAATACTCTTCGAGCAATGTACAACTTATTTCACCTCCCACTGCTTTCACTCTTGGTTGCATTGGCAACGATTATGCACTCTTGGCATTGCACAATCTGTACTGTGAAAAGAAAGTTAAAAATGAAATCCATGCTAAAGTCCACAGATTGGGTGCACAAATACAGTGGCAAAATTCGCATTTTCCCTGAGCTACTTGTATTGCAGGATATCGCAAATGAAAGGACACCAATCACGCTCGTTCTCATACATCACTTTGCAAAGAGGTTCCGAAAGCTGCGTTTCCACTTTCATGCATTGGTTATGTGCCGGTTAGATTATGTGATTTAAGCTTCTGAAACTTCAGTCGAACTGTCCCTCTTTCTTAAGTGCGCTTATATTCGTAGGGATGTACACAAAAGTATATATATATTGTGATTGCTGCGAGTAAATACTGATTCATTTACCTTTACTTTTTGTTCATTCTAAAATATTTGCTGTGGAAAAAGTGAGTTTTCCTTTTAATATTTACTCTTAAGCAATTTCGCAAATATCGGGAATTGGGTTTAGAGTATATAAAAAATTTTTAATTAAAATGTTTTCTGCTAAACAAATTTAAGTTTAATCCTTTCTGCTTCCTAATTAAGTAAAAACTCAAACTTAATACAGAAAAAATATTTTAAAATTATATAAGAAAAATAAAACGAATGCTTTAAAAATGATTGTTTTTTTTTAATTAAGAGTTGCAAATTATGTCGCAGCACATAATCAATAAGAGAAAATTGGTAATATACAGGGTGTGTGCTAACAAAGTGACTTTATTTTTTTGTAATAAAATGGCAGAGTTTTCGTACTATCATGCATTGCCTTCCAGTAATTGTTCTTCATAACAAGAAACTCTCATTTTATTTTTTGGTAAATGAATCATTCAGTTTAATTCAACCATTTTTCAGATATTAAGAATATTTGAAAGCAAAATTTTTTTGAATAGACTTTTCTTTGACACCCCGTATCTCTTTGAAAATGTAACACCTGTTTTTGAAATGGCTTGGACCAAGGTATCACCTCCCATATCTATACAACTTTGTAAGAAAATACATTGTGTAATTGTAAGACGTAACATCTACTTTACGAGCCATATTATTGACTTCAAGATATTTTTTGGATCCGTGCACTTTAAACATTTTCTATATTAGCAATTCTCAACAAAAAGATGCTCTGTGCTTTCTATATATGTATTTACGTAATATATATGTATATATGGTAAACATTCATATTATATTGTTCATATTTAATTGATATGAGTTCTTTAATTAATATAAGTTTTTAATTATATAAAAGTCACTGTTGAAGAAATAAAAACCTAAGGAAGCAAAAATATTCGTATTAGATTTTGAAGAGCAATAAATTAAATTCTAATAACAGAATTCTAAGGATTAGTCATTCATATGATTAATCATGTAAAGTGTATATTTTAGATAGTTTTGGTTTTTAATTTTTGTTTTAATTAAAGGTCACAGTTATATATTTTTGATTATGTTAGCACTTGATAAAAATACTTTAGTAGAATATAAATATCTTTTGAAAATCAAAATAATATATATTTCCAACTAGTAGCTAATTACTGAAGGCGAAGTAAAAGTCTGTTATAACTTAACATAAGCACATTAACAGAGCTGTTAACTGTTATATTTTACATTAAATCAAAATGCAATTTGTAGCTATGTTAGTTGTATGAGTAATAAAATATATATTTGTTATTACTGATATCGATTAGACATTTCAAATGAAAAGCAATGAAGTTGGTTTTTGTGGTTTCACATAATATTGTGGCAACTGTGAGACAAAGAGGGGATAGAAAATCAGGATTACGATTTACACATTAATTTGGTTAAATAATGTTATTGCATAACTTTAAATTAAATATAATTAATTAATTCAATTATTCTACAGCTGGTTTATGATTTCGTTCAAATATAACACAGCACGTGGATGTGTTAATAAAAAATTTCACAGCAAATTAATAACTCCAGAAAAATGTGCGAATATAAAAGTTAAGTACGGCTTTGGGTCAGTTGGCAAATGAACGCTGACTCTGAGCTTTAAATTTGGCAGAGCACAAGTTTCATTTCTGGTACTTGAATCTCAAAAAATTATTTACGAATAATTAAGTACAAGAATTACTTCCAAGACCACTGATGATGGAAATTCAATTAAATAAAAATAATATAAAAAGAATATTTGTTGTTGTAGTTCACTACTTTTCGATAACCTCTTTATACCATTTTAATATTAATATTCATACCACTTACACACAATGGCTTTAAAAAGCATTTAGGAACAATTGCAAAGACTTGATCTTACATCATATTTACTCAAGGAAACATTTAATAATTAAAAGTTTCTTAATATTTGCCTGTCGTGTTTTTTAAACAACATAATTTGCCAGTTTCCAGCAAAAACAAAATTCATCTGAGCAAAGCATTCAATTTTTCCATCATTCACTAGAAAATTGTAGATAAATCCACAATTTAAGGATAATCAACACACACACACACACCCATACATACACTTGAGATATAGAATCACGTAATAATTTATTGTTGGAAATTTACAGAAGGCAGACGTAGTGAGAGGATTACTGAATGTTTCACTGTTGCTGTTGATTAGTGAAGTTTCCCTTTCACTTCCGTTTCCGTTTATGCAACTGAATGTGCTATTGTCAGAAAGTTGCTTGGATTATTTTAATAAAAACTAAATATTTTCTGCATTGTTGATGGAAACGTTTAAAATTGGTCGGAGAGCGCGCCATGAATTTCGTAGTTCGCAAATTAGTTTTTATGCTGTTGGGCGAAACTTGCAGCTCTCGCTGTTGGTGTCTGTGTATGAAGTTTAGTTCACTAGTTTTGGTATCTGTTGAACATTCATTTGTGGCAAGATGAAAACCGGAAGAAGTCACAACAAAAATAAACAATTTTCGGATTTACAGGCGTAAACAATTGGTGTTGTGAAAGTATTTTGACAACAACAACAACAAAGTTCCTCAATATATTGTTTCGTTTGGTAAATTAATTATGTGGTTAAAATGGTTTGCTAACAATAATGACACTAATAATTGCGGATTAATTTGAAACATATTGATATTAAATTTTATTACTTATAGTTTGTATCAATTTTGATTGATAATTTCTAAGTAATTATATCAATTTGCAGTTTTTTGGGCAATCACAGCAATTATATTTAGTATACGATTAAAGAAAGCAAAAATTAATTATGATATTGTTTCATTTGGATATGTCATATTCTCATATATATCTAATACAAATAAAAAATATTGTGGAATTGCTTATTTTTAAGCAATATATCTATATCTTCATAAGCGATATCTTATGACGATAAAGCTAAATAAAAACACTCAATTCATGTCGTCTTAAATGCTTTAAATAGTGCACTGTGTTTTTATTGTACAAGTTTTAAGGATATTGTTTTAATATTTCAAAGGAACTTTTTCAAACAGATTGTTGTAATTGACTTATATGTATACATATATATACATAGATAGATAGATTTTAAACAGGAACTTATCACCATATCACTGCAGCCTTTGAGGATTATTGTGACACATCCACTTTAGTTCCATAGACAAGTAACAGTTAAGAACGTCATTATGTCCTTTGAAAAGATGTTGCCTAATTCCGTAATAAGTGATAAGTACCAGCTGAATCTGGCGAGGCTATCACAATGACACAGAATGTGTTCTGCTATTTCCTCTTCTTCGCAACAAAGTCTGCAGCTATCGTCTCTTGTAATACGTAGGTTCGATAGATGCTTATTTACTCTACAATGTCCAGTGAGAAACCCTGTGATATATGCATCACAGAAATGAAATATTTTGAATTTTTTAATAATATTTTGATCAAATTCAAAAAATGTTTGATGAAACAACATTTTCACCATACATAACATAATATTAGTTAAGTTCGAAATGATAAATGAAATCCCTTTTTTAAAACACGGTTTAAGGAATTTAATGTCTTAATAATTAAATTAAAAAGTAAACTTTATAGTAAACTTATAAAAAATATGTTTTCGTAATCAGACCATATATAAGTAATTGCATAAGTCTGTCTTTTAGATTCTTCACTGATGTCCTGTGAACATTTCATTACTATTGGATTTAGTGGTAGTACTTCTGTGTTAGGTGTATAAAAATGAATATCAGACGAAGACGTAATACAATTGTTAAGTATTGTTTTATACTTGATAAAACTTTGGCCAAGAGGTGTGATATATGAAATTTATTGTGATAATTGTTTTTCCCGTAGTAAAATTTTTAAAAGACATACACGGCTTAAAAACGATCGTGAATTAATATGTTGGCCAACTGATAACTATGTTCATAGTAGATTCCATCATATATGAGTATGACTTCATCAAAGGACCGACAAAATCTTTATTCAAACTCATGGAATTGGAATCACGCATCTTAAAAAATTAATTTATCGTAATTTTTCGTAACCCGAAAGCTTGATTGTCCGAAAAGTGTATGCGTGGTTTGTTATGTATAAGTTGATAAAGAATTGGTAATTATTAATTGTAATTGTTAATAAGGTTTCGAAAAATAGTGAACTACAACAAAAATTATTTTTTTTCTGTGGTTTTGGAACTATTTCTTATATTTAAATATTCGTAAATAATTTTGTTTTGAGACTGCAAGCACCACGGGTTGAACTCGTGCCCTGCCAAATTTGAAGCATAGAGTCAGTGTTCATAAGCCAACTGAGTCAAAGCCGTACTTGAGTTGTATGTTCGAACTTGTATGTTTTTTTTTTTTAATTTGCTGTCCATTAACAAATTCACTTGCTGTGTTATATGAGGACAAAATCATAATTGAATTATTTCATTAGAGGTATATATTTTTAAAAAATTATTTATTGCATGAGTTTATTTATTTCTTGTGCATAGTATAGTTGATTAGACAATTAAGAATTGCTCTTGATCAATGGAATTCTAAACGATTTTTGACTTAAAAGCCACTCGTTGTATTTACCTGATTTAGCACCGTCAAACTGTGTTGTTGAATGTTATGAAATTTTGACAGTATATCTGTGAACAAACTACCTTACCGAAGTATTTAATTGCCAATATGCGACCTCACTTCAAACACCTATTTTTAAAAATTCCTGTTTACTTTAGAATTCGTCTTACATATCAAACTATAGTAGTATTTATGATGTGACTTACAGTATATGAGCACAAGAAGGTACAGTTTAAAAAGTATCTTCAACATGTTTTAATTGTTAGTTAAATTCGAACAGTGAAAAAGTGGATATCATTCGTTCACATATATACGGATTAGTTTACTTTTATGCATAAAATTAAAATTATTTTTAATGAAAGAGAAATGGTAACGTAAATGAACAGAAACGTAAGAACAAAAATTAAGAGTAAGAAAATAACACAAATACAAGTAATAAAAATATAAAAAATCAAAAACTTACATCTTCAGCATCTCCGCCATTATTACCGTTTACGCCGGATGCTCCAAGACATTGTTCGATCGTATCGAATCCACGCGACGGTGAAGTTGAACGTGAGCTCTTTCTTCTAGGTGGTTTTAATGGTTGTAGCTGTTCGGCCATATCAGTGGTCGACATATTTTGCTGTTGATTCGTAGGTGTATCATGTATATCGACTCGAATATTTTCGCCACGTAGAATAAGTGGTGGTGTGTTGGTGGACATTGAGCGTGATTGACGTAGACTTGGGGGTTCAGTTAAGATCGGTTGAGATGATACATTTGAATCATCCTCAATACTAACAGATGTGACAGCTGTAACTGGTGGAACGGTAATGCTGCTCTCCGCTGGTGTATTGATAAATACAGGCTCAGTATAAACGGGATCTGTTGTTACTTGTGTATGCTGTTGCCTGTACGGTTGATCAATGCTTTCACCCAAGTCCCCGTTTTGTCTACGTCTAACTGAACGTGCACGTATATTTTGTACTGCAGAACTGAAAAACCCACTCTGTTGAGGTTGCCAGTGTACGTGCGGTGCATCCGTTGAAGGAGGTTTTGTTGAAGTTGCTTGTGCATGATGTCCATCCACACTAGAAAAGCCAGCTGCTGTCTTTTCGGACGATAAAGCAGCATGAAATTCTCGTTCGATTATTTCCTATTTTTTTGTACAGTTACTTGGTACAGGTAATATAATATTGACATGATTTTAGGGACTTTAAATTTTATTTTTTTATTGCATAAAGTTTTGGATTCCGCAATAAGTAACTGTTAATAATGGCGTGCTAATTCGTAAATATTCGCTTGGACTTATGCATTTTGAAGTACGGTTTAGGGAATTAGAGTTACTTTTGTACTAAAAGATTTGGACTGTTAAAAATGTAGTTCTTTTATGCAATAGCACACATTTGTTGTACATGCAAAATATATAATTAAAGATTGTGCATATGGCTTTTGCTCATGCATTTTTAAGAGATTGGTAGGTCAATAAGTATCTGTATCAGCACTCATGCCCATCCATATATGCAAACAGTTATTCATTCATTTCAATGCTAGAACGCAAAACGGAAATGGGGTTTGATGTCTGCTGCTGTAGCTTTTACCACAAATGTCTTTAAACCGCATTACATCCGGTCGTCATTGGTTTCCTTCTCATATTTTCATTTCATTACATTTTTATGATAAGTGTACATTGGAACTCCGTGTAGCGATTACACCCACGGGTGGTGACTTATAAACTGAGTATTGGTTTTATGGAATGTGAACTGAACAAAAAAGCTAAAATGCATGAATTTCATATGAAATGATTTAGTTTTTTGGCGATAAAAATGTGTGAAAAATATATGAAAAATGCATGAAAAATTGTGTTTGATTAAAAAGTCAATAAAATAAACCTTGAAACTGGTAAATATATGGTTTGTGTAATAAATGTAAACATAAACAACAAAACATTTGATGCAGTTTTATACAGCAAAGTTATTTAATTTTTAATTAAAATTTTATTTTTTTCTTTTGTATATTATTATATTTATTCAATTCTGTAGCAAGCAAAATAATTTATACAGTTTTTTGTGAAACAAACAACAACTCAAAGTGATTTTATTGATATTCGATATTAAAAGCGTTTTTAGTTGCGATAAAAAAGCAATCACACAATGTACACAAAGCCAATTAATAATTTTTGAATATAGTCCT